AAGATCTGATCGTCTAGAAGCTTATTTTGGTTGCATTTCTAATTATTATGACCCACACACTGACTATTTTAGTCCCAAAGAAAAACAAGATTTTGACATCAACATGGGTGGTAAACTTGAAGGCATCGGTGCAAGACTTCAGACAGATGGAGATTTTACAAAAGTATCAAGCGTAGTCGTAGGTGGACCAGCATGGAAAACCAAAAAACTTCAAGATGATGATGTCATCCTTAAAGTAGCTCAAAAAGGACAAGATCCTGTAGACATCACAGGAATGAGAGTCGATGATGTAGTTCAGCTGGTAAGAGGTAAAAAAGGCACAGTGGTCATTCTTACTGTTCGTAAAAAAGATAATTCTGTTGTTGATATAGAAATCGAAAGAGATGAAGTACAACTAGAAGACTCAAAAGCAAAATCTGTGGTACTCAATATGCCTGGTAGTATCCAAAATATAGGTTACATCAATCTTCCTAAATTTTATTCTTCATTCGAGACAGATGGTGGAAACTCTTGTGCAGTAGATGTAGCTGAGGAAATCAGAAAATTGAAGGATCTGAATGTAAATGGTATCATCCTAGACTTACGTAACAATTCAGGTGGGTCTCTAAGTGATGTAGTCGATATGAGTGGACTTTTTATAGAAGAAGGTCCAATTGTTCAGGTTAAAGGGAGAGAAACCAAGCCAAATGTATATACAGATAAAGACAAAAACGTACAGTATGATGGTCCATTAGTCATCATGGTGAACCAATTTAGTGCTTCTGCTTCTGAGATTATTGCTGCAGCAATGCAAGATTATAATAGAGCAATCATAGTAGGTAGTACCTCAACATTCGGAAAAGGCACGGTACAAAGATTTTATGACCTAGACCAATTGGTTTCAGGTATGACTGAGTTCAAACCATTGGGTAATGTAAAAATGACTACCCAAAAATTTTATAGAATAAATGGTGGTTCTACTCAATTGAGAGGAGTTGTGCCAGACATTATATTACCAGACATCTACCATTATATAGAGACAGGCGAAAAGGAATATGACAATGCCCTCGAATGGACAGAAATAGCTCCAGTACCATTTAAACAAAACGTTGTTAAGCTCGAAAACAAACAAAAGCTTATCGAAAATAGCAAGTCAAGAATAGAGCAAAGCAAAGATTTCAATCTTGTACTTGATTATGCAAAATTAGCAAAAGCAAATAGAGATCAAACAAAATATCCGCTCAAGCTTAACGATTACCGTGCTATGATGGATAAGAAAAATGAAGAGTCCAAAAAATATGACAAATTAGCCAAAAACGATATTATAGG